GAGGACATGCTGCCTGGTGTGAAGTCCTGAAAGATTTAAAAGCAACACTTTTGAGATCATAGCCGAATGCTACAACCTCTTTGCAACCGCCCACATTCCTTTGCTCCTGTTGGGCTTGGCTATATTTCAGCCATGTCTGTGGCCGTGCTGGAGGTTCACTTCCTGGGACAGGGCTCTTCCATTATGGATGAGTGCTTCCCCCCCTCCCCATTACAGGGAGACCATCAATCTCATTTTACTACGACATGATGGATGGAAGTTGGTGGCTTGAGGTGAAAGGAGTTCAGTGAATGAAAGTGCTTTGGTAGCTTGGACACAAGAGATGTGAAACTAGGAACTAAAGAAGTTTGATATCCCCCCTTTTGTCTCTTGAATGGGAGATCTCAAGTAATCACCAAGCATGAAATCGCAGCTTTGTCACTCACACTATCGACCAAATAGTCGAAGCGGGTTGGGGGGTGGGGATGAATTATTTTGGCTGACTTTTCGCTCTTTAACAATTCCAGTTTGCATGTCAGAGAGTATCCAGAATTAAGGATTCATGTTTTGGACGAATGCTTGAGTTGATCTTTGCTGCCATGCATTTGATAATTGGTCACCTAGGTATTTGGATGTCTGTGAAGACTGATGCTGTTTGGCAGGACAATCTATCCTTTGGAGGAAGGCACTGACTAATTTGGTGAGCAGCTAGTCCTTATGATTTTACTGGGAAGACAAGGGCTGCAGGGGAATATTGCTTGCTGGCCATTGAGCCTCTGAGTTGGGTATGCAACAGAGGTGGGTATTAGACAACCTCTCCCTCCAGGGGACCTTAGGGACCATAGTTCTGTGAGAGATGCTTATTGATTATCCCTCTAGAAAGTATTGATTATTGTGCTCCTTGGATACAGTAAGATAAAAGGGTCATGGATTCATCTCTGCTTATGGATGTCTGTAATAACCAATTAAATGTGACATAGTGGGCTGCATGGTAGGCTCTGCTAACACCTTTCTTGGCTTAGCAGTAGCTATTGGGGCTGAGTATGGGCAGAGGTGAATTTAGGGCAGCACAACCGGTTCCACCGTACTGGGCGCTGAACCTAAGGGGTGCAGGGCATCTCAACTATGACCTAGTGAATTGAGCAGAACAGAAGGCCAGAGGCGTGTGTGTGTGAGTGTGTCAAATTTTGGGCTTGCATAGGGCGCCATTGAAATTTGAAAGACCAAAATCTGTCATGGCAGGAGTTGAATTAGGCTGTAGTGGGTAAGTGGGATGGAGACTTAAGCTTTCCACATTGCTTCCACCCCATGTGAGTGGTGCAGCAATAAAGCTGCCGGCACATTTGCAAACTAAGCAGGGTCCAGTATGGTTTCAAATGGGATGGGGGACAGTGCAGGAAGTAGGGCTAGAGCAGGCATCCCCAACCTGCAGCTCTCCAGATGTTTTAGCCTACAACTCCCATGAGCCCTAGCTAACAGGACCAGTGGTCAGGGATGATGGGAATTTTAGTCCAAAACATCTGGAGGGCCAAAGGTTGGGGATGTCTGGGCTAGAGGATCTTTGGGGTTCCTTCCGACTTTACAATTCCATGGGGATATGATTTTAATGGCCTTTTGAAACTACTGTTGGTGGTGCTGGGGAGGCAGGCAGCCACGCTGCACCTGCCTCTCTGTGCCCCTCCTCCACATTAATAGCAATTCAGAGATGGGCAGTGGAATTTTGATTGGGAAAATGATTAACAAAGCAACAGCTTAAAAATAATAATGATGTGTGTAGTGAGTTTTCAGAAGCAGCATAAAAAGACTAAAGAAACAAAACCGCCACAACTGTGTGGAGCGCATTATGGCAGTTAGAATAAAATAAACAGCAGGCTCAGTACAATTTTGCAGACAGCATAATAAAATAGTTTCCGTGAAGGGACATTTTGGAAGTAAGAGTTACATATCGATAATGCAGCCTCGCCGCATAGAGGCATGTGTCTTTGGGGAGACTATGCAGTGCAGTATTTTTATTTATAAAGCTTATTCTAGAGGCTTTTGAGACCTGACTGCTTTTAATGAGAGGTCTGGTGCTGTGCTGTATTTGTTGTAATTATTTGTATGTTTTAAAAGATCTGAGAGGGATCTTCAATTGTTTAATTATTTTTCTTAATGATTACCTCCTTCTTCTTCTTCTTCTTCTTCTTCTTCTTCTTCTTCTTCTTCTTCTTCTTCTTCTTCTTCTATGTTTTTAGCGCTTCCTGTTTTATATGCAAGTTGCCTTGAGTCCCTTGAGGGTAAAAGGCAGGATATAAATAAATATATAATAAAAATATATAGAGACCATACAACATCAAAATGGTCTCATTTCATAACTTCTCTTTTCACACAAACTCCTATAGGAGGTCTCCTAACATCTTCCAGCACCCATAACAAACTACAGTCCCCAGGATTCTTTGGAGGAACTCATGACTGCTAAGGTGGTATCATAGTGCTTTAAAGGCTACAAGCCATAATGGCTATATTGTACTCTGTCTCCACAGCTGGAGGCAGCAATGCTTCTGAATACCAGTTGCTGGAAACCACAGGAGGACACAGTGCTCTTCGGTTCAGATCCTGCTCACAGGTTTCCCTTTGGGGCATCTCATTGACCGCTGTGAGAACAGGATGATGGAGTAGATGGGCCACTAGACTGACCCTGCAGGCTCTTCTAGAGCTTTGAATGTCTGGTGTGGATGGACTTTGTTGCTGGTGTAAAAGAATTAGGTGTCAGGATTCCTCACTGATCTCTTGCAAATCATCCAGAGATCATACTTGTAGAGCCTGATCTACCATCAGCCTATGACAGGTGGCAGAGCCTGTGCAGGTGAGCCTGGCAGAGTCTAGAGTAGGTTAGTTTTTCCACATCCTGATGCCACCATGGGTGGTAACCCTAGATGTCACTTAGTTCTTCAAATGCAGAATACTGGAACCCTTGCTATGATGATGATGATAATTTTATTACTTATACCCTGCCCTTCTGGCTGGGTTTCCCCAGCCTCCCTGGGCAGCTTCTGGCACATATAAAAACATAATAAAATGTCAAACATTAGAATCTTCCCGATACAGGGTTACCTTCAGATGTCTTCTAAAAGTTGTGTAGTTCTTTATCTTTTGGACATCTGATGGCAGGGCGTTCCACAGGGCAGGTGCCACTACCAAGAAGGCCCTCTGTCTGGTTCCCTGTAACTTCACTTCTCGGAGTGAGGGAACCACCAGAAAGCCCTTGGAGCTGGACCTCAGTGTGGAGACGCTCCTTCAGGTATACTGGGCCGAGGCTGCTTTGCTCATGTAACCATATACATCCCTCTGAACAATGCTGGCTGCTCAGGAGGGACCCTGTTTTCTGGAAAGAATGAGCTAAGTGTTAGTTTCTGTTTCTCACTGTGCAGCTGCTGCGTGGAGTCACAGGACTCTGTTTACATTCCTGGGATTCCATACTATTGGAGTCTCACGGGAAAGGGAGATGGGATGTGACGTTAGTGGTTTCCTGTTTCCTTTGTTCCTTTGTTCAGTTGCTCTTTGCTTTCATAGAGAGAGGATGTCTTTTCTGTTCTGCGTAGTTTAGAAATAAAACTCTTTACAATGTGGCCAAACCTCTCGTCTCTTCCCTGTGCTGGGAACCCTGCTGGATAGAATGTGCTTGAGGCCTTATCAAAGGCTAAGGTCATTAAACACGTTGGAGGCGATTTCATAGGCTCGGCTCGGAGGAAGAGGAGGCCCTATCGGCTTGGCCGAGCGGAGTTCCGACACTATGTCTCTCCTCCTGTTCTCCAGCTCCCCATGATTATGCTTTCTCTAGTAACACAGCAAACTGCCTTATACTGGTCTATCTATCTCATCACTGTCCACACACTGACTGGCAGCTGCTCTCCAGAGCTTCAGACTGGGGTCTTTACCAGCCCTACGTGGAGATGTCAGGGATTGAACTTCCTACAAGCAGATTAGATGCTGTGCCACTAAGCAGCAGTCCTTCCCTGTGAAGTTATCCAGAGTTGTATTTGAAAACAAACCACACACCACAGGCCATTAATTTGCACACAAACATGATTTAGTGTATTCAGTTTGCAAAGGTAAGCCTTTTGGCAAAGCAAATGCATAAATTGCAGAAAAATCTCCCCCCACCCATTCCCCGCCTCCAATACACAACAATTGTCCTCTTTTTAAAGGCTTTTAAAATTATTTAGACTAGATTAGAGCTCAGGGTAGCTTTTTGATTTCTTCCTTGATGCTTAAAAAACCCCCACATCCTGGAGCTCTTTTGTCCTGTGTTGCCCTCTGAGCAGAGACACTAATTGAAGATCTCCTTCTTCTTTTTTTGTAAAGAAGAAAGAAAAAGGGAGGAAAGAGCCTCCAATTTACTAAATGGATCTCTTTTTGTTCTGAGGACCAAGCCTTTGTTAATCCTGTCCTTTTCAATCTTTGCACCCTATCAGGTTTATATAAAGCATCTGCAGAGAACTGGTAGCTGAGTTTGTGTTGGACAACAGGAGTGGCAATGATCTAGGCACCAAAGGAGGAGGGGGTGGCTTGTTAGGAAACACTTCTGCGAAATTAAAGGAGGTAGTGGACTAATAATATATATAAATTATATATATATATATATATTTATTAGACTTATTGGTCATGTGTTAGACAAAGGTCTCCAAGCGACTTATGACATATTTTAAAACATCAGCGTAAGTAAGTAAAAAAAAATGCACTTTCCCCCTAGCACATAGAATTCATTAAAAAGCACACACAAAGAGAGAAGCAGGGTGGGTGGGGAGATACCTTCATTATTCTGCTTTTGGCAAATACTGAAGACACACCTTTTCTCTCTGACTTTTGACGCTTGAGATAATATTTTTAGGATCCATTTTATTTTTGTAGTTTTAAATTGTTTTAAACTGTTTTTAATAATGCATAATATTGTGTTTTAATTGTTATAACCCACCCTGGGACCTTAGGATGAGGGGATGGTAATAAAGTGTAATAATAATAATAATAATAGATGTTGGTAGGGATAGGCTCAGTCAGCAGAGCATGAGACTCATAATCTTAGGGTCGTGGGTTCAAGCCCCATGTTTGGGCAACAAGATTCCTGCATTGCAAGGGGTTGGACTAGATGACCCCTGTGGTCCCTTCCAGCTCTACAATTCTATGATTCTGTTATTCTATTTTTTTAAAAAAATAATATTTATTAAAAGTTTCAGGATTACAGAAAAAAAGAAAAAAATAGAAAACAACACTACAATACATAAAAAAGAAGGAGAAAAAAAACAAATCATAAAAACCAATACAACAATACAACAAAAACAAAAAAAAACAAAAAAAGAAAATGCAAATCCCATATTGCATATCTTTAACTTCCATTTGCTTGTTTCATTGACCTCCTCACACCTCCCTTTTTGTATTCTAGTTTAATTAGTTATTTCAGCAAATTCTTTCCATCTTTCTCAATTTTTATTGAATAATTTATCTTAACAATTTAACCTATTAATTAACTCAACAAATCCTTTCCATCTTTCACTATATTCTGTCATTCAATTTACCTTAATTTATTTTAACCTTATCTTACCATAAAATACCTTAAAACTTAATATTTATACATAACTCCTTATATCATTTCTATTAAAGCCAAATAGTTTCATTCCAACATTTTTCCTAATACTCATTAATTTTACACTAATTCTCAAAATAAATTTTTAAGAACTTTCTTCCAATCTTCATCCAACGTCTCTTCTTCCTGGTCTCGGGTTATGTCAGTCCTTACTGTCCATTCCGTCCAGTCCATCAACCTGGCAATCTTATGTCCGAAGCTCTTAAGTCTCTTCCATGTCCCTTCTGCAGATCTTCTTCTTCTTGTTTATACCTGCACTTTTCCTTGTCTTTTGTTAGTCTCTTTCTTAATTTCTTTCCTTTCTCATTGAGGAGTAGGTCTCTGGGAGGTTCCTGCCCAAAGTTATCTCCATCTCCCTTCATCAAACCAGCCCATTCCCCACAGTCCCACTCCCCACAGTCATCAATGTAATCCAAATAATATTTAAGAGCATATTTCAAAGTCCCTCCGAAGTTAAGAACCTCCTCAGCTCCAGACTCCCCCTGGCCCACTCCAACTTCAATCTTCAGAAACAGCGGCTTATGCTCCTGCAGGGCCTCGGATCTCTCCATTTGTATTATTTGAGGTGCAACCGCAACCTCCTCCATTATCTTCTGCATTTGCACTTGCCCAATCAATACAGGTTCCTGAGTTGGTCCCTGAATGGTTTCTGTATCAGTATTCCCTGTTTGTCCACAGTTATTGACCACAACAGTCATCAAATCCGTTTTCTCATTCATCAAATCCATCTTCTCATGCACCTGTTCCAACAAAGCACTTGTCTTGCATAAAGCAAGCACCAAAGCTTCCTCCCAGCACATTTTATCCAAGGTCAAAGGGACTGGTCCCACGATCTTAATCTCACAGCTGTCTAGTCCTCAAGTAGACTGCAGCAACAATTTAACAAGCTCCCTCTAGAGGAGACAATTTCTATTTGTATCCATCTTTTTAAGGCAAGTCCAACAAAGGAAAATTACTTTCATTTTTCAGATATTTTGTTTCTTTAGAATGCAAAAGGCAACATTGGAATCAGTTTATTTCTCTTTTTTAGCTATCTGTCAAAGTGTTCCATTCACAGTCAATGAACACCTCCAACAATTTCTATCTCTGACACCCCGTTCCCAGATTTGAGACAGTGGAAACTTGTCTTTCTTTACTCCCTCTCCCTCCTGCAGGCTTAAACAAAGTCCCCCCCCCTTTTCTCCTGCTTCCAAGGGGGTTTTAGTGGTTATAAATGAAGGAAATTTAGACTTTTATAAACGACTTTCCAGGCTTTAGCTTACAAGGTTTTTGCTTCAGTCTATATACAAAAAGCGGAAGGCGGACTTCCTGTTTTGAACCTTCCCGCTTCGGTGCCAAATTAGAATATTTCTTGATCCAATTTTCCGTTTCTACTCACGGGTACTTGTTTTAAATCCAATTGTCCACAGGAAAAAGTCAGCGCTCTCCGGCAATGGCTATGCGGCTTCACTCCGTGAAAGTAGCAATCAGTTCGCAGCACCGCGCTGCTCACCCCACTTCACTCCAGACCCCCGAAATGGGGTTCCCCATGAGTAGGGGAGGCGCTCCTGGTGCCCTGCCGAACCCCATGTTCCTAGGCTTCCTCCGCCTGGGATTTCTAGCGGGCCCCCACCTTCGCTGCGGCGGGAAGACCCAGTTTCCACGGAGCCAGTTCCTTCGGTCGGAGGAACTCCGCCATTCGCTGATGGCGCTAACCCGGAAGTCCTATGATTCTGTTATTCTAAGTAATAAATTTAAAATGTAGAAAACCAAGGTGGTGCTTGGAATACGGCACAGGTGACTGTCTGGAACCCTGAACAGAGAGGAGTATTTTACATTGCAATGGTTTGCAGAGCCTGCTTCTGTTGTTGAATTTCCTAAGCACACCCCCCCCCAGCTGTCAACATTTTCCTTTTTTAAAAGGGGAATTCCCTTATTCTGAATAGGATTCCTCGCAAGAAAAGGGAAAAGTTGACAGCTATGCTCCTCCCCATGTGTTTCTGGTCTGGGACCCTGTCAAATACCTTCCATGGTCCTCTGCATTGCCAGTCAGCATTGCTGTAGTGCATTTACACCTCACTCTTCGCTACCTGAAGTAGACAAGGTGGTGTAAGTAATGCATTATTTGGGTTTTAAAAAATCCCACTGGGAGGCTCTCTCAATGAAGCCATATGGCCTAATTGTTAAACAGCTGGACTGTCGAAATAACCATTCCACAAGCCTCCCACCATCTGCACAAATTTAATTTTCTTTCTGTTTGGGGAATAGGCTGGTATAATACAGCAACAGGACGGTCAAGCGATCTTCTGATTTGGAAAGTGAAATAAAGCTGAGCCTTCCCTTCTCGCAACCACCCTGCCTGGATGCGAGAAATGCCAGCTCAGCGTTTTTTGAATTCTCTGTATCTTATTTTCACCTCACAATCCTGTTAGAAAACATTTGGGAAAGGGGCAAAAAAACAACAACCACACATCTTTGATTGTAAGGAGAACGTTAAAAACTTCCAGCATTTTAGCAATTTAAACACGTTTCACTGTGTAATGTCTTTTTTAAAACCTCCTGGAGAAGTGCCCATTAAAAGTTTGCATCAGTTGCCTTTGTGCAGAACGCATCTGGGTGTGTCAATCAGCACTCGTGTCTTACCAGCGCTGCTATTTAAATTAACAGAAACAAGACATTTCATTATTTGGAAGCATTCCTCACATGCAAAATAAAATAAAAATAAAAATTCCTGGACTGCTTAGGCAGATGCACAAAACGATTTCAAGGCTAAAGCAGACTGAAGACTCACAGATCTAAGAACATGGGGATGTGGGAGACTGCCGCACACCAAATCTGAAATTGGTCAGTATTGTGTGTGCTTGCTTTATTCAACTTGGTGTCCTTTGGGTGTTATGAACTACAATTCCCATCAGGCTTAGTCAGTGGAATGGAACTGTCTACTCCAGTACAGCCATACTGTTTAAAACAATTCTTTATTGGTTAATTGTTTGCAATTCTAAATGATGTGCATAAAAGTGGTCCACAGAAAATGGGACAATAAAAAACAACAACAATTAAACCAAACACTACCTTAAAATGCTTGCTGGAACAAGAAAACCTGAGCCATGTACCTGAAGTTCAGCAAAGTGTGTGCCTGTCTAGTCTCAGTTCACAGGCTTGGGACCACTGCACTGAATGCATGGCTTCTGGTAGTTAGGAGCAGTGCATCTGAGCCATGAGGGACTGCCAGCAGAGACTCCCATTAATTGGGCATGTATAATCCCGTGATGGGGTGAGCTCTCGTTGCTCGGTCCCTGCTCCTGCCCACCTAGCAGTTCGAAAACACGTCAAAATGCAAGTAGATAAATAGGTACTGCTCCGGCGGGAAGGGAAATGGCGTTTCCGTGCGCTGCTCTGGTTCGCCATAAGCGGCTTAGTCATGCTGGCCACATGACCCGGAAGCTGTACGCCGGCTCCCTCGGCCAATAAAGCGAGATGAGCGCCGCAACCCCAGAGTCGGCCACGACTAATGGTCAGGGGTCCCTTTACCTTTATGAGGAATCAAGCGGTTCTTAAGATATCCTGGACCCTCCTTCCTAGAAAGAACTCTTTGTAACTGAGAACAGATAGCTGGGGTTTGCTCTCCCCTCCCCCTTTCTTCCCAATCCCTTTTGCTTTTGTGTTGTGTCTTTCAAATTGTAATCCTAAGGGCAGGAGCTGTCTTTGTAAAGTGCTCTGGGAGCCTTTTGGGAGAGGGAGTGTTGACAGGCTGGTGTCTGCATTTTTAAAACCCTAAAGGCAGGGAATCTGTCCTTCCAAATGTTGCTAGACTACAGCTGTCGCCACCCTAGGTTGGCCTGATTTGAGTTGGAGTCCAGCTGAACCGGGGGGGGGGGGCAGCAGGGCTGCATTTAGGTTTGATGAGGCCCTAAGCTGCTGAAGGTAATGGGGCCCTTTATATGTCCAGCTGTCTTTTGTCAACAACAAATTGCCGCTGTTTTTGTGTTGGATATATGCTATATGGTAATCTATGGACCTAATAGGTATCTAAAGCCATTTGCACATGTTGCCATGCAACCAGTCCATGCAGAATGTAGGTACCCTATATATAAAAGGTATAGGTAAAGGGACCCCTGACCATTAAGTCCAGTCGTGACTGACTCTGGGGTTGTGCTCTCATCTCGCTCTATAGGCCGAGGGAGCCGGCGTTTGTCTGCAGACAGCTTCCGGGTCATGTGGCCAGCATGACTAAGCCGCTTCTGGTGAACCAGAGCAGCGCACAGAAACGCTGTTTACCTTCCCGCCAGGGCAGTACCTATTTATCTACTTGCACTTTGATGTGCTTTTGAACAGCTAGGTTGGCAGGAGACCCTATATATAGAAATGAGCAAACCAGTGACATTTTAGGGAGCAGGCTAGCAGGCAGGGCCCATTACTTACATCATAGGATCCTACACAATGCAAAACACTGTTGCTGTATGTAGGTTTTATTATTATTTTGATTTATGTTATAT